CTGTATACACGCTCGGCTCCGAACGTGAAAAATCCAGCAACGTTCAGTGACGGCCTTCTCCATCATTTGCCACTATCTCCCATCTGACGCGGTATCTCCACTACGTTTTAATCGGCGATACTGAAATTTACGTGGGATTCTGAAGGCTGCTGTGCGGCAGTAGGTCTCCCTGATGGTGGAGACCCCGTCTCCGCAGCGTCGGCAGCCGATTGCCCTCCAGAAGACAGAGCGCCGCTCTGTGCGACCGATAAGGCGCGGGGTGGAGGGGGGGGGGGGGGCATCTGCGCCAGCCGGGGACTGAGTTACGCCCGCGGCGGCCGGCCGCCGGGCAGCCGACACTGGAGCGCCATCAGGCCCGTCGGCCGCGTCCGCGCCCCGTGACGGGCCGACTGGGGTCCAGTGCCGAGACGGAACGGTCGGCACTGGACCAGATGAGCCGCGTCAGACCTCCCCGTCCCCAGTGACGGGCCGACTGGGGTCCAGTGCCGAGACGGAACGGTCGGCACTGGACCAGATGAGCCGCGTCAGCCCTCCCCGTCCCCGGTGACGGGCCGACTGGGGTCCAGTGCCGAGACGGAACGGTCGGCACTGGACCAGATGAGCCGCGTCAGCCCTCCCCGTCCCCGGTGACGGGCCGACTGGGGTCCAGTGCCGAGACGGAACGGTCGGTACTGGACCAGATGAGCCGCGTCAGCCCTCCCTGCCCCCCGCGACCGGCCCGAATGGGGTCTGGTGCCGAGACGGAACGGTCGGCACTGGACCAGATGAGCCGCGTCAGCCCTCCCCGCCCCCCGTGACGGGCCGACTGGGGTCCAGTGCCGAGACGGAACGGTCGGCACGGTGTCGGCCTCCTGCCCCCCCCCCCCTGACCGCCCCGACCGGGGTCTGGTGCCGAGACGGCACGGGCGGCACCGCGCCGGGTGAGCCGCGTCAGCCCCCCCCCCCCCCCCCCCGCCTCGTAACCGGCCCGAGTAGGGTCCGGTGCCGAGGCAGGCGGCCGGCACTAACCCGGGCGAGCCGCGTCCGGCCACAGAGACAAGCTGGGACCGGCGACTGGGTCACTCCGCGGTGGTCATCAGCTGGGAGATCATTCTGTATCGGCCGATCGATATTCTGTATCTGTACATTATATAGATGATATTCTGCGTATTCTGTATCGACCGTGTGCTAGCCATTCCTTCGGCTTAAGGTGCTTGTCGACGTTCGCGTGGATGAAAACGAAATTGATGCTGATTGAGGCTTTGACTGACGCTCCCTAATCACGGCTCATTTGGCACATTGGAAGCTCCTCGCCTGATTGGCTCAATTATGGCTCCCAATTTGAGCTTTGAGGCTCAAAGACAATGGTGCTAAAAGCAGGTTAGTTGAGCGTAATGTTACGCCGGAAGTAGATATTTGGGAATTGACTACCAGGCGCGGACGACCTCAAAACGTGCTGTAAACGTCTGCCATGATATAAATAGCTCATGGTTTTAGCTGTTGTGCAAACAAATTTTACGTATGTCGCCAATAGTGGTCAAAGGATCCATGGTGGAAATGTTCGATTGGCAGCAACTTTCTGCAGCAATTTTATGTCGCGATTGGTTGTGGTTTGTCGTTTGTGTTTTCAGACCAGTTCAGATTATTTCCTTTCCGCGTTATCCGACTCTGACAGCGGGCCCCATAGCTCATGGTGGTTATGAGTCGATGACGCCACAGTTCATCACCATCCAAAAGGAATCATCCAAGTATCTTTGGACCTTGGATTCACGCTCGGCGCTCTATCAATGGTGGTGACTTTATTGGCTGAGATAAATAAATCGTCGCTGACAGGGGTTTCGATCTGTACTCTTCTGTGAAAGCCTTGCCTACCATTCCCTCCAAAGCTGATTTGGGCTAGGGTCCGCGAATATTTCGTGCTGGAATATAACACGAGTCGAGGAAAAAGGAAATGGAAAAGTAAAATTGGTTTTCGTCAAAGGACAGTGAGCTAAATCCGATGAGAATCACGCATGTGTGGGAATGTTATATTGTTGGGCCCTCTGCTCGGCTCCCAATCATTTACACACACCGACGCGCTTGGTCGGCAGCTCCAGACGCAGTGTCAAAGTCTCACAGAAGGTCATCCATAACAATTCTGGACTCACTATGGAGGAGGCGGCTACGTCTTTTCCGGCCCCGGGGATCGCTAAGCCGTTGCTGGTTTCAAGGGCACCGACTGTCCACCCGCAGCGTCGACCCGTGGCTGCGCCGATCACGGGAGCTCGACTCAGCGGCCATGCGTGCACTCTACACAAGCACACGAGCAGCTGCCACGCGCGGTCAGACATCAGGCTCAGCAAACGCGGTCGCGCAAACCGCAGGCGCACAAGCAGCCTTTGCGGACTGGCGTGGTACGGTTGTTTGTCACTGGGCTGTATCACGCGCTGCGCGACCCTGCCGCCACGTGCGGCCACACGGCCGTCACAAGCTGTCGTGCCACGTGTCCGCCACTCGCCTTCGCCACGCGGGCAGCCATGGCATTCGCTGGCGTCAGACGCCCAGTCGTCATACGCAGGACACACGCACACGCGCACGCGCACGCGCACGCGCACGCACACGCACACGCACACGCACACGCGCACACACACGCACACACCACACACACACACACACACACACACACACACACACACACACACACACACACACACACACACACACACACACACACACACACACACACACACACAACACACACACACACACACACATCGGCTCTCCACTATCGATGATGGCCGCCCCCGACGGTTCCCGGGTCTGCTGGGGCCACATCAGGCAGACGTCGCCACCACGGGGGGCGCTGTCGCGTCTGGCTGGCCGAGCTCGGACGGCACGCCCGCGCCGGGCTCCGTTCCGGGGAACCCGCCGCCCTCGCCGGCCGGCTCGCCGACGTCCGTCCGCGGCCATCGCATCAGCACGGAGCGGCGGGCTGAAAGGGACCATTTCCTCGGCTCGTGACCGTGCCGCCAGCGTGAGCAATCGCTGCGCATCGTCTGCTTTCGCGAGGCCCGCTCTCTTCACAAGAGCAGTGCGGCGTGAAAGCTGGAAAACCGTGCTTTTTCTCGTGCGCACTTGTCTAACAAGGCTTGTGATTGAGACAGGACCAATTAGCTGATTTACCTAACGAAGCCGCTTGTAAAGGGAGGCCGCGTTCGCTGATTGCTCGGACCGGACTTACGCCGGTCAGACCGGACCGGTGGGGTGGCCGACCGATGTGTCCAGCCAGGCTGGCCGGCCGGTGTATCCAGCCAGGCTGGCTGGCCGGCGGGTTCAGCCAGGCTGGCTGGCCGATGGGTTCGGCCAGGCGGGCCGGCCGATGGGTTCAGCCAGGCTGGCTGGTCGGCGGGTTCAGCCAGGCTGGCCGGCTGATGGGTTCAGCCAGGCGGGCCGGCACAGCTGCAGACATCATAACAGCTGGCCTAGGCGGACGACTCGGGGCAGGACGAACACACTAAGTGGTGCCGGCAGGTGCTGTCGACTGGAAGCCGCCGCTGCGGCCGCTGCGCAACCTTCCGTGCAAAGACCTTCGATGTTAAAGCGGGCACTCTCGGCGCTGCTGTGCTTTTGACTAGTGCGCCGGTCGTTAATGCAGAAACAATACATGCTGGTCGCACGATCAGTCCATTTCGAGCATTTTTACAATACATGAGGAAGGATTTTCGGGCACGTTTCCACTTAGCTGGTTGCGCAGGGAAATACGGGACGAGCTGTAGCAGGGCGCAGCGGCGGACAGCGGCCTCCTGCGTCCGGCGGCCGCTCAGCCCAGTTTGCTGTGTCAATGTCCGATCAGCCCCGGCCAACAGCTTTCGGCCACCTTGCCGGCAGCGAGCGGCCGCGCTCTCGCCGGGAACCTGATCGGCTGCTGGTCTCCGGTTGTGTGAGCGCGCCGGCGGCTTGCGAGCAGGAGTGCCGATTCGGTCGCCTGGCGAGCGCCGCCGCGGCTGCCGTTCAGTGGGTGCCTCGGCAACGCTGCCGTCCCGTGGTGCGCCGGTGTCGCCGCCCACGGCTGCGCACGACGGCGTTCGAGTATAGCATGGATGGCCAGCGGCCCCCTTTCGGAGCACGAGCCGCACACGACAGGCGAAGAGACGCAACGAACCAACGAAGCAATCAGGTCGGCCTCCCGGATAATATTTTGAAAATAAGCAAAATGTCAGTTTCGTCCGCTGCCGAGGCCAACGAAGCCGTGCCAACGCCGACCATTGGTATGATCAGAACTGAACGCGGCGTTGCGGGTATGTTTAGCAGTTTGAAGAATTTCTCGCCTGATTCATATTTCGCAGGCCCCGATGTGTCAGTCGCCAGCAGCAGTGGCGCGTTTTAACGCTAGCAGCTCTATTTTTAGTTTCCTTTGACAGGTGTTCTGAACCTCATCGGTTGACTTGATACACTTCCAACACCCCGCAGTACTCCATGCGTAATTCATCCCCTTCGCTGAGGCGTTGCATGGACCATCGTCATCCGCGTGCCGGCCGTCACCCACACGCGTTGTCAGTCATCAGGCGACCAGGGACTACCATACCGTTATGATCGGTGTACCGCTGTCGTCAGAGTACGGCTGTGATTAGGGCACGGCTGTGATCAGGGCACGGCTGTGAGCAGGGCACGGCTGTGATTAAGGCACGGCTGTGATCAGGGTACGGCTGTGATCAGGGTACGGCTGTGATCAGGGTGCGGCTGTGATCAAGGCACGGCCGTGATCAGGGTACGGCTGTGATCAAGGTACGGTCGTGATCAAGGCACGGCTGTGATCAGGGTGTGGCTGTGATCAGGGTACGGCTGTGATCAGGGTACCGCTGTGATCAAGGTACGGTCGTGATCAAGGTACGGTCGTGATCAAGGCACGGCCGTGATCAGGGTACGGCTGTGATCAAGGTACGGTCGTGATCAAGGCACGGCTGTGATCAGGGTACGGCTGTGATCAGGGTCCCGCTGTGATCAGTGTATGTGCCACTGTGCTGACTGTGCTCCGCCGGCAGGTGATCGCCTTCATCTGCGGCCTGATCGTGCTGCTGCTGATGGCACTGGCGCTCGGCTCCAGCGACTGGCTGCTCAGTGACGGCTGGCGGCAGGGCCTGTTCAGCCACTGCACCGAGGAGGACGCCGGCCGGCCGCTGCCGTTCAACCTTCCCTTCGAGCCCGGCTGCCAGCGCGCCAGAGGCGTCGGTGGGTGCTCCGGTTTGGTCCGAGCGGGCCGGTCTGCTGCCAGCGCGCCAGAGGCGTCGGTGGGTTCTCCGGTCTGGTCCGAGCGGGCCGGTCTGCTGCCAGCGCGCCAGAGATGTCGGTGGGTTCTCCGGTCTGGTCCGAGCGGGCCGGTCTGTTGCCAGCGCGCCAGAGATGTCGGTGGGTGCTCCGGTCTGGTCCGAGCGGGCCGGTCTGCTGCCAGCGCGCCAGAGATGTCGGTGGGTGCTCCGGTCTGGTCCGAGCGGGCCGGCCTGCTGCCAGCGCGCCAGAGATGTCGGTGGGTGCTCCGGTCTGGTCCGAGCGGGCCGGTCTGCTGCCAGCGCGCCAGAGATGTCGGTGGGTTCTCCGGTCTGGTCCGAGCGGGCCGGTCTGCTGCCAGCGCGCCAGAGATGTCGGTGGGTTCTCCGATCTGGTCCGAGCGGGCCGGTCTGCTGCCAGCGCGCCAGAGATGTCGGTGGGTGCTCCGGTCTGGTCCGAGCGGGCCGGTCTGCTGCCAGCGCGCCAGAGATGTCGGTGGGTTCTCCGGTCTGGTCCGAGCGGGCCGGTCTGCTGCCAGCGCGCCAGAGGCGTCGGTGGGTGCTCCGGTCCGGCCTGAGCAGCCCAGTCTGTTGCCAGCGCGCCAGAAATATTGGTGGGTGCTCCGGTCTGGTCCCAGCGGGCCGGCCTGCTGGCCACTGCGGCCAGGGTGGCGAGGCTACTCTAGTTTGGCTTTAGCTAACCTGATCGGACCTCAGCCAAGCTAAATATGGTGCCACCATGCCCTATACGGCTACGATTGCCCCGGTGTGAAGCTTCTTAGCTGATCTAATTGCGATGAAGGCAATCTAAAGGCGTGGCAGATGTCATGACCTAAACCATAGGGACAGAACTCCCCAATGGGGTTGACCACGCCCCACAGTAGTCTTTTAGTTTATCGAGTTCACTTAGCCCTAACTGGAATGAGTTCCAATTATCTCGCGAAAACAATGTGTTGCAACACCGGCACCGGTCTCTCGTCACCCAGAGGCCCCGGGGCGGGTGGTGCTGCCTCGCTCCACCGGCCGTTCCGTCCAGCTCCACCGTCTTCGCTGTCTAGCTCCGCTGTAGTCGCCTCCTCAGGTGCCGTCCAGCTCCACCGTCTTCGCTGTCTAGCTCCGCTGTAGCCGCCCCCTCATGTGCCGTCCAGCTCCACCGTCTTCGCTGTCTAGCTCCGCTATAGTCGCCTCCTCATGTGCCGTCTAGCTCCGCCGGCCGTTCCGTCCAGCTCCACCGTCTTCGCTGTCTAGCTCCGCTATAGTCGCCTCCTCATGTGCCGTCTAGCTCCGCCGGATGTTCCGTCTCGCTCCGCCGTATTTACGGTCTCGCTCCGTCAGAGATGCCGCCCCGATCCGCCGGCCGAGCCATCTCGATCGGCCGACCGTACCGTCTCGTCGCCCCCCCCCCCCCCCTCCCCCGCCCCCGCCGAGATAAGCCGGCGCGCGCGGCCGCCGAGCATCTGTATTCATGTATGCTGCGTGGCGGGAGGCGGGGGTGGCGGCCGCCCCATCGATCCGTGCCGCCGGCGCGGCGGCGTGTTAATTAGGCTCCGATGGTGGCGCACCTGTCCGCGTGTCTCCGGCCGCCGCTGCCCCTCGGGACCGCGTCGACAGCAGCCGCCGGTCACGAGCGCCGGTCACGGCGCTGGGGCGCCGGTCGGGGACGTGGGTCACTGAGGCTCGTCCCGTGGCGGGACGGGGCTCGTGTCACGGATCGGTGCGCAGAGGATTAATGGTGCGGGTGTCGTGCTGGCCTGCTCTCCTCCTAGGCCTGGGTTAGCCGGGACGTGTCGTCTGTCGCCTGTTGGATGCAACGGACGACACAAGAGACGGCGAGAGACGACTCACGTTTAGTGTCGGTGGTAGGCTGACCGGCAGGCGTGTGCGATCATTATTTTTGTCTAGAGACAAGGGTTTCGTTCGTTTTCATGGGGAGGTCACTAAGTTCAGGGTGAAGCAAGTAGAAGTAATGGAAAATCCCAGCCAAAAGAACATGGAAATGAGGAGTTGGAACGAGAATACTTGTTTCCCAGAATTGCATGTATTGTTGAAGTGAACCAAACCAATATCCCTTCCGATGAAGCAGAACAAGTAGACGGAGGCATAACATGAGTGTAAAAATGGTTCCTATTTGGGCGTCTTCGTCAACCACAGCCGACAAGTTTTGCAACACTGCTCCATTAGTGCTAGTGAACTGCACGTCACCTTTATCAAGAGTGTAAAATTGCATTCTCAACACCTGCAGTGCCCGCTCCATATCGCTCCATCTCCGTGGGATTTGGAGCACTTAAAACGTCACCACCGTCGTTCCGTTGCTTGCCCACCGCTCGATGGTCGAGTCGGGTCGTGTGAGAACCCGAGGCGGCCATCGGTCAGCCTCTCGTCGCCGGTCGTCTCTTTTGACCGGCACACGGCCGTCCATCCTGCCGTTTGTTCGACGGCTCCGGCAAAAATCGATGTCATTGTTGGGGGACGCTGCCTGGACAGCGCCGGGCGCGTCCAGCGTCAGCCGGGGTCAAGTCTGTTCCCGCCGCACCAGCCTGGAGCGAGTGGAGTCTGGTGCCGGCCTACCTGACCGGAGCGAGGTCTGGTGCCATTTTTGCTCCCCGGAGTGGGCCTGGCGCTGCTCCACCCGCCCGGAGGGGGTGTGGTCTGCTGTTGCTCCACCGGTCTGAAACGAGGTCTGGTGCTGCTCCGCGTGCTCGGAGCGAGGTTTGACTCTGGTTAGTCACCCGCGAGCCGAGACAGACTGGGTCGTGTTTTTCTGGACATCCGTTCCGGGCACACAATGGATGGATCCCTGGATCCTAGCAAGGGGATCACATCTCTA